TTCTAAAAATTCACACAAACCCAAAATAACTAATGTGCTGCTTTATTTTTTTACGCAAAAATAATATTGAAATTTGTGCTCCATAACTAAAAAGAAAATACTCTTTTTTTGGTTAAAAAATAAAGTACTTATTATGTTGAAATGAAAGAAAATACTTTTTTCATATCATGAAAAGATAATACTCATTTTGTTCAAATGACAGAAAATACTTTTTCCACATCATGAAAAGAAAATACTCATTTTATTCAAATGAAAGAACATACTTTTTTACATCGTGAAAAGAAAGTACTATTTTTGTTAAAATGAAAAAAGTACTTTTTTTATATAATAAAAAGAAAATGTTCATTTGTGAACGAAAAAAAGTATTCTATCTATAACATGAAAAGAAAGTACTATTAAAAATATTTCTATATAGGATNATTTTCTATTCTCTTGATAAGGAAAATATTTTTCAAAACATTTAAACCAACCAAATATGAGAAAATTGGAAAACATTTTCTTCGTACCAAACACACCCTAAACCATTCAGCATTTTGTTAGGAGTTTAGGGCAGTACTTGCTTACAATCAGAAAACTCTTGCCAAATTTTTGAAATGTATCAGAAATTCCATAAATCTGTGAAGCAGCAGGCATAGGTATGATATGTATCTAAAAGATGTTATCTCAAAATATTGTATAATACATGTTTTTAAGGAAAAATCTACGTTTATTACATGCAAATCACTTATTTAACAATTTATATAGCTGATGGAAAGTACATTGTAGTTTTTTGGAGTAAAAAGATATATTGAGGGAAATATCTTCAAAATAAAGTTACATCTAGAAACCTATAATATGTATATATTCACTGAATATATTACAAAGAAACTTTCGGATTATTTATAAATCCCTTAATTTTTCAACTAAGAATTCACATGATTTATTTGGAAACTGAATACCCGGAAGTTGTAGAATTCTGCAGCCACAAACGTCCGAATTATATAATAACATAGTTGTGGTTTTCCTTTTTTGCCACCATTGACAATACTAATTAACTACTCCTTTCCTTTTTTGTCCCACGTACCACATCAACAAACAAACCAGGCAATGAAGTATTTATATATCAGTAAAGCAACATGGATGGACACGACCTTACTTGAACAGGATCTGTTCTATAGGCTAGTGGTACCACTGTATCCTTAAGGAGACAGAAAACCAAGTCTGGTTGATTGATGAGGCATAGCTATTGGACCAGAGCCTGAATAATAGGCCCCACAGCCCCTCGGGTCATGGTGCCGTAGATGATCGTTCTCAGCCCCAAGGTGCGTTGAGATGATCTAATGGCTGTCTGACAGACTATTTATTCTAATGGCTGTTTGGTTGGGATAACTAATTAGTGTTTTATTATCCCTATGGGAGGGTGAGATAATTAATTCCGAAATAATTAATCACGAGATAACTTGTTTCCAACCAAACGGCCCGCATTGTTAACGTTATGCTTTATTAAGCTAAGCAGCAGGAGTAGGAGAAATAATGCCAGTCATGATTTTGTTATTTATTTGTTCTTTTAATACAGAGAGAAATATGCACAAGTAAGATGCATAGTGTTTGGTCAGAGGTTGAGTTACATATCAGATGTGGTAACTGTGGGAGGTCTCTGTCCCACATCGTTAAGTGGAGAAGATAGAAGAGTGGTAAGGAGATACTATAAAATAAGGCCAAGGACAACGGAGAAACATACTTACCTGGACGGGGTCAATGGGTGATCAAGAAGATCCATGACCTAGGTTGGTGACTTCCATTGCACTCTGGAGGGGCGCCTGCCTAAGGTCGGCCCAAGTGGTCGAGCCTACGTCATAATTTGTGGCAGCTGGGGCTTGCGTTCGCGCAGCCCCTACCCAATTCGAAGTATAATTCTTTCTTGAGATTCATTTGTGATTGATGAATTGCTTGAGCATACATTCTCAATAGCTTATGTTTTCACCATTTCAAGTCACCTCGTACTACTCAAATGTATGAATCTTTAGAATTGAAATCCAGCAAACCGAGTCTGGCGGATGAATTGTAGTCCCCATGACCTTGGGGTCATGGAGCTGTAGATGATCGTTCTCAGTTCTTACCTCGGTGCAATCTTATAAAACTTCAATCTTTTTAGAATTGTCGGTGATTTGGAATGACATAGAAGTTCCAGAAGCTCAGAAGGATATTCAATCATGGTTCACTGAGCCAGTAATGCCAATGTCTCAATCTCTTTGGGTAAACTTGGTGTCAAGGATTCAAAAGATGTGAGGATATTGTGGTCTATTTGACACGAGAGACGTATTAGTTTAACGAATGTGGTCTTGTTGTTCTGGTTTTGTGGCCCATTACAAATTTGTATTTAGTTTTATAACCTCATCTTTTTTTTATATATATGGAATGAGAGATTTCGTTTTACAGATAAGATCTACCTTTTACACGTAAGAGATCTAAAAAAATATTTTCTTAAATTCAATATTGTAAAAAGCTATGAAGGCCTAAAATCGTTATTCTCAACACGGTAAAAACTTATCTTATTACTTAATCTTTCCTATTCTTAATTTTAAAAGTCGTGAAGCTGTTAACGGCCTCCCTAGAATCGAGAACAACTCTTTTATGTGACTAGCGCATCCTATAATCTATATTGATGAGAATAAATTTTGGGACTTTTTCGTATACATTTCAGATTTTAAACTTATTTTTGGTTTTGTCTAAGTTTTTCTATTTATATAAAGTAACTAAGGTTTTTATTACAAAATATACACAAATCCGGTCAAAATCTATAATATATCTATAATTTATCTACAACTTAAATATAATTTTTTTGTATAGAATTTGGTCAAAAACTACCATTTACTTACAATTTATATATAGTTATGTTAGTTGTATATCTTTTGTATATCGTTTCTACACCCGACATACAAAATATATACAATTTGTTTGTCTCTTCTTTTTCAAGTTTCAATATGAAATTTCAACCAAAACCACCTTGAATGTTCACTAAATTCTCTCAAAATTGAGATAAAACATATTCCCAATCATTTGCAACTATACCCAATCCAAACAAATAATAATTTCGTAAAACTCGATGTTCGAATTCAAAGCTTCGAAGCTTTTTCATGGCATTCAATGGAGTTTTTTTAATGGATTAACCTAGTTTTCAATTCAATCTACTTGCTTCTAGTTAATACTATTTTTTGTTAATTACAAAAAGTTAAAAGAAATTAACGATCTTCCCTCGTTCAAAAGTAACCATTCGTGTTCATTGTTTAACATAGGAAAAAATAGAAAATAAAAAGAGAAAACGTAATGGAATTCTTGATGGCCAAATCTCTTTGTTTGTAAAGGTATGGCTGAAGTTGAGGAGATAGAGGCTAAATATTCTTGTGTTAATTTATAATTTTAATTATGAGGTGGAAGATAGAGAGAATGCATTAGAGTCTAAATATTATTTTGTATAAAATTGATAATTTGTATATGAACTTGTAATTAAGTTAAAACCTCAATAGTAAGGGTAAATAAATTTTAAAATTAGTATAGATAAATAAATATCTCCTATTTAAATATTCAAGTTATTGAAAATGATAACTATTGATAAGGAAATTGATGCACATATTAATAATTTAAAACTTTAAATAAATTTTAAACTCCTAAATGTTAGGACTTCTTACATATTAATAATCTAATAAACAAAATTTTTGTTGATCTCAAAGTTCTAAATGTTAAGAATATAACTTAAATTATAATTTAGTCCAATGTGATTTTTTTAAAAAAATAAAAAAGACTGGCATGGGAGCTGAAGCAATAAAGAAGAATGATGTGCAAAGAAGATATGAGCAATACACATAGAATCGACTACGAAGATACCGTACATGTTAGCTTCATAAGAGAAAATAGGTATAATTAAGGACATTGGAAGCCATAAAAATGGAAAGATCATTAATAGCTACGAATATGGAAAGAAGTCAACTAAATTCCTGATTATGCCGGGTTGGTTATTATTACTATAACCATTACAAATTACTCACATAATGGGTAATCAATGTGATAAATACTAATAACAGGCGAAAATTAAATAGGGGAAGAAGTTACGAATTGTGCCCTTATATAAATCCATTTCCCTATCATGTATCCCTATCGAGAAAACTTCAAAGTAATACTATCAATTGTCAATATTTTT